ATATATATATATATATATATATATATTCATATCTTATTTTTTCATATTTATTTTATTTATATATTTTTGTTTTTATCTCTCCCTTTAATACGATAATTATCATGTTTTGTATTTTAGTTTTTTAATTTATTTAACAATTTTTGAAAAAAAGAAGAGGAGTCTTGGTCCGTGATTTAGACATAAAAAAATACATTTTTTTTATTTTAAGTTTATATAATTGTATATATTTTTTAAATGATATAAAATATTTTAAAGATATTTTGTTAGATAAAAATTCATTTATTGTTGATAAAAAAAGTTAACTAAATTTCCATGCATCGCATGGCTAATTATAAGAACGAAATTAAAAAAAAAAGTGTACACAAAAATATTATTATTATTTTTATTAATATAGGTGAATTGAATTTCCGTGTTGTGTTAATTAGCCTTTTATATTAGTATCATCGTTAATGTGAGTGGTACTAAATTTTATCCTTTTAAAAAATATTCTGAATTTGAGTTTTATATGATTTTATTGAAATAAATTTTAGAGGAAAGGGAATCGAGAGTTTTTTTTTCTGAAAAAAAAATTATTGATGAACTTCTTTTCTATGTATTATTAAATTAATAAATTATAGGAGAATTGAGATGAATTATATGTAAGTTTTTATCAATATTTTAATTTTAAATAAAATTATAATTTACATGTTTATCAACACTGTATGACTTAAATTTTATGCTTAAATTAAATACTATTATCTTGTTTGGAAAACCATTTTTTAGTAAAATTTTAACAATAAAACAATCAGACACTGTCTTTCACCGTACTCGTTACAGACAACAAATCTAATTGCGGAAATCAAACATGTTCTCTTGTCAGTTGTGACTTCAGCAACTACTCGCATCAACCGTACAACTTCTTCACCATGTCAGCGTCGCCGTTGGAGACGCTTACAAACTTGTTTGTTTGTTTTAGGGAAATGAATATTTTCTAGTGAATTTTTTTATGGATACTGACTACGATTATACTATGGTCTATTGGACTTGAGGCTTTTGAGTTGTTAAACTATGTAATGGATACAAATCTTGTAAAAGAGACTCAGGAGACCTGGGGAATGTTTTGTGCATGTCATCCCATATTGTGATTGGTGTTATCCAAAGTGAAAAGTTGAATTATATTAACATAAAATTGTTTATATAAATAATAATAAATAAAATGACTAAACACTATCTTAAAGTAGTATTCTATGTTCATTGAATAATTTTAAATCATTAATTATTGAGAAATAAATTTTTTAATAATGTATGAAAATATTATAAAATTTATTGGTGTCAACTAAAAATTTAAATAGTCTATTTTATATATATATATATATATATATATATAAATAAATAAGAGATTCATTTATTTTAGGGGTAAGTCTACTTAGACTTATTTCATTCAATAACTTATGTTCTGCATCAAATTTTAATGATTTAATCATTGAATTTAAAATTCTTAATACATAGATT